GAGGTTATGTCAAGCTGTGGGGTAGGTATGCCCTAAAATCTGGCCTTTAAGTCTAACGCACCTGCTTTTATTGACTTTTAGTAGAAACTGTTGATACTGTAGGGCAGACTAACTTTGAACTACATGGTTAGTTTGGTGTGCTGTGAAATGGCTGACTGTAATAAAAGGTTTAAGTCTCTGTTGCCATTCTGCTGAAACAAATCTGCATGTGATTTGTTTAGTTGCAAATAAATCTCTAGGCAAAACTGTGTAAACAGAGCTGCCCCTCTACAAAGAGAAAGGTTATCAGGACATTAATTGGCAGCTAAACTTGGGATATCTGAGGGAATGAAAAACTGGAAGCAAAATAAAGAGAACAAACAGGAAAGAAGAGAAAAGGAAACAGGTTTGGGAATTACCAATCTCCATCTCTGCTAATGAATTAAACATGCCCTGGACATAGGGGTCAACTGGCAAAGAAAAGCTTGTGTCCATTATGTTAAACACTGGAAAACCTCATGGTGACCAGGATACTGAGAGAGAAGAAACCTATTCACTGATGGCAAGCTTGCAAATATGTTAATTAATTTAAATGTCTTACCTGTCATGTAACATTTGATATCCTGAGAGTTGCTAATGGGATTGTTGTTTTTGAACATATACAGGTTGAAAGGCATTATGTTATTGCTACTCAGATGCTTCCACATATCATGGTCTGGACTTGTCCACCGACCCGCTAGCACATCATAGTCTCTCCGTCCCATGTGGATAAGCTTTGTGAGGGGGTCATACAATCCCCCGTGGTAGCCAATGATGATCTGGAAGTTGGGATTGGTGTCCATATAGATCTCCCCATATGCTGTGTACAGTATCTGCTTAATCATTAAGCCAGTCCCACTGAAGACAGCCAAAGGAGTGCCAATGTTATCGCAGGCTATGTAGAATTCATCACCGCTGCTCAGCTCCATTGCAAAGAGGTGTCCTTGGAGGTCATAGTAGAGGGAGGTGATCTCGGAGCTTGAGTGGTTGTATAAATGGGTGACCTTGGTTGGGTTGGTCAGGTCTGCGTAGAAGAACTGCAAGTGATGGCCGTGGCTGGTTTTGCTGGAGACTCTCCTTCCTAGGCCATCATAGCGGTATTTCACACTCCACCCATTAGCTTTATTGTAGGCTTTGATGAGCAGACCAGCTGAATTGTACTCAAAAATATCATTGCCCCTTTGTTTCAGGAAGCCATCCTCATCCATTTTGTACTGCACATCCCCCAGTCTAGTAATCCTATCCCTGAGGTCATACCTGAGCGGTGTAAGGCGGGCACTATTCCCTGGACTCAGCAAATGGAGGTTTCCATTTAGATCATAGCTGTAACGCCAGAGTGGTTTGTCATTGATAGACACTGTCTGCAACTGGCCATCAGCATCATATTCATATGAGTACCTAGTTGTGTTTGCATAAGGGCCAACCTTCAGCTCTTTCTTAACCACTCTCCCCATGTTGTCATACTGCACGGTCATCCAGTACATGAGAGACCGGAATATCTCGTACTGGACCTCCTTCATCCTGCCATAGGCATCAAAATGTTTAGTGTGAGTCATGACAGCAGTGGTGATAATCTGGTTAATATCGTAGTAAATGACTCCAAATTTACCAAATTGTTCAGTTTTGCCTGACACATCATCGTACCTGTAGAGATCAATGGGTAAAGGCGTCTCGTTGATGACTGCTTGCATGCTGGTCACGCGAAAGCTGTTGTCATAATTGTAGTCAAAGCGTGCATTCACCATGCCTTCCTCAGTGAAGCGGAAAATCTGTCGATCAATGAGGGGTCCTATCTGTCTATATCTGATTGTACATGTGAACCCTTCATTCTGCAAGTTTATGGTCTTCAGCATGCCAGCAGTTTCGTCATAAGTGAAACTGATCTTTGTGGTGTCGTAGAGCATCTCGGCTAACTTGGACAACTTTCCATACTTGTAGATAACACGTCTCCCTGTGCCCAAGTACAGAGTGTGGAGGAGCTGCTCATCCTCTGTGAAATCCTGAATTACCGAGGCATTGCCTTCTGGTGGCCGGTAGATGTTCCTGTAGTAACCAATGGAACGAATGGTTTCTAAAGTCTGACGGGCAACGTTGGGCATGGTCACTGATGACAACCGGTCGTTCTTATCAAACTCAAAGATGTACTGTCTCTGGCTGTGAAGAAGCAGCACCATGGACTGGGTGGGAAGGAGAAAAGTATAGATCATATTCCTGGTTTTCAGGCAAAATTACACTCAACTCTCACAAAACCTGCAAGATTCTTCAATCCAAAGAGCAGGGCAAGTGAGATAAATCTCTGCACCCGTAGGATTAAATGGTGACAGGTATGCAGCTGCACGGCACATGGAGTGTCCCCAAGTAGGAGTGGGTCAGAGGAAGAAGCAGTTAATGCAGTAAGGAAGGTCTAAGTTCAGAATGCTCAGTTGTTCGAATCAATACCCTGTATCTAGCTGTCTCTACCCAAATTCCCTGTGCCAATAGCTTTTACAGACTAAATAAATAAAATTGGTAGAGCTACTTAAACAATGCTTGAAAAAGTATCCCCTGACACCTTCTAATGCCCAATTAATTCATTGTGCCTCTGCATCTTCTATTACTCTCTTACTCCAAACTTCCGCCTGCATGCTTATTTGTTCTGGGATTTTTTTTGCATGTAACAAGCAATCCACACAGATTGTATAATACAAAGAGCAAGTCAATATTTTTGCTTTTCAAAAGCTGTGTTAGTGTAGTTTCCTTAAACTGTTGTAGGGATAGGCTCTATACAAAACTCAGGAATAAAAAATTCCAGCCCCAGGTATGCAGCATATGGATCTATAGGACACTGAGGAGTGTAATGATGAATGGTAATACCCAGAAGAATTTAAATCCTATGCCAATCTACAGAGCGCAGACTACAGAAAACACTGCAAAGTGTGCTGCAACAGTCTGGCTGGATTCACGCCTCACACTTTTTAATTACATCTATTTCCTACAAAGCAGGAAAAAACCACCCAAAGAAGGTAGGATGTCAGACTGTATGGGTTGTTTTCACATGGAAAATCCTACTGGAAATTCCTACTGTTCACTCCTCTGACTTTACCTGAGGATATTTTATATTGCAGCTAGCTCAACAAAGGAATGTTGTGCTTAAAAAATCAAATGCCAAAGCTTCACAGCATTAAGACATGCTCTTAGTGTGACTGGGAAAAAACTTCTCAGGCTGTTTTCAACTGCTCTTTGGTGGTCTGGCGTCAAAGTTACTACATGCACCTTAGTGTAGGCAGAAGAGGAGCACTGGACCATAAGGACCACAAATCATCTGATGTCAAGGAGCATAGCCGTACTGAAGTCAAAGGAGTAAAGCCTATTTGCACCAAATGCACCATCTCTGAGCAATAAGAGGATTCTTACCTTCTCCAAGTAAGTGTAGCTCCACGATTTGCCATCAGCAAAGATCCTGGATGTAATTCTGCCAGACTGATCATACTCCATCCTTTCTGACATCGTGCCCCTCTGAATCCCTGCAATGTGTCCTCCTGGGGAATAGGTGACATTGACCCCATTCAGTCTGCTGCTGGGTGACCAGAGACTGGGCCTCCCCGCCTGGTCGTAGAGGATGCGGAGCGTGAACTTGCGGTGGTCATCATAGATTTTCTCTGTCCTTGTCACACGATCAAAGTCGAGGGACAGCAGGTTTCTGTTGTGAACCTACAGGAAATAGATGGAGAATTAGGAAGCTGGAAACAGTTTAAGTTACAAAGACTAGCCTTAGTTTCACCAACAACCTCTTTAGACCACACTGGAGAGTATCCAGCTGTTCATTGCCTCTGGATAAGAGACAGTTTTCAAAGTAAAGAGTTGCCCTAACGTTGCTTCTGTTGACTTCAGTGAGGAGAGGCAGAAGAACACGGTACTTTTGAAACATCACCACAGTGAAGGAATATTGCCCATATCCCCAACCTCAGCTTAGGACTGCTAGAGCAGATGTGATTATAGACCTACAAAAGATATAATGACAACTTTTTGCAAGGAATATTTGCAAGGTACTCTGCTTATCAAACCTAGGATATATAGTCTTTTGCTTTCATGAGCATCATAAAATAATACTTGTAGAAAAAAGATGGATGTTGTGTCAACATAGTGGAAAACAGAGTTTTTCTCTGAGTTTATTGAATAGACTGTAGGCACTGGAGGTTAAGCCTTTCCCCTGAGATGAAATACGGAGGCTTTCACCACTGTAGATGTTACACAAAGCAGAAACTTTTCTGTGAAAGCTGGAGTTTTAGCTTCATTGTCCTGGGGTTATTCAGTGTTGCATAATTACACTCCTGTTACCTCCACTGCCTCTGCATTTCCAAAGATCAAAGGTATCCACTTCAAAGGTAGGAGCAGGAATACATTTTGATTCAGGGGTTGTAGTGCACAGCAATGCAAAAAGGAGCTGATAATACAACTTATGTTTAGCCACGTGTGCAAGGAGACTCACAAAGTCTCATCATCACAGTAGCAAAGGACTCAGCAAGGATGAACAACCTACATTCCCAGTATGAGCTTGCCAGTGACGACAGCTCCTTCTCCATCCCACCAGTTCTGAACCTCTTTCAGCTGGTGAAACCCTCTTTTCTAGAAAGGTACAGATTCTTCTTGGATGAATTTCAAACTCCATACAGCTGACTTCATTTTCAGTCCCCTTTGCAGCCCTTCAGCTGCAGTCAATAAATCAGGGTTTGCAGAGTTAAACACACTGCCTTACCCTGCTCTGGGTAAAGCCCACCCTCCTGACCTGAGCACTGCTCTCAGCTCTGGTCCAGCTTTGATCTTGGCCATTACTTTAGGTTGTGTGATTGAATTCCT